CCGGCAACTTTAGTGGATCCTGGCAGGGTCTGAGAGCGACGTTATAAAAATAAGTTAATTAAAGAGACTTAAAAAGAAGGGTTTTATGCGAAGCGAACACGAGTATAATAATCCAGCAACATATGTTCTACTGGCCAGGGAGCGGGATGCAGGTGAATAAAATCACTTTACAGGACTTCTGATAAGGAATTATTGCTTGTATAAGCTCATTACACTACGCTTCGCGACGATAATAGTGCTGAAGCTAGCGCAGTAAGGCGGCATGGCGGCGGTTTCGGGAACTATTTTGATGACTCGTAGGCTCGCAACTTTGCGCAGCTATAATTACCTCCGCAGCTCTATCTTGCGGCGAAATTAAATTATCCCCCACTCTCCACAAATGGGCGTAATGCACCGATAAACCGGCCCCTTGCCCTTTGGACAATTTAATGGCCTCCCCCTGTTGAGGTGACAAAGCTATCTAAAATTCACTTGGGGACGAATTAGCGCAAAGCTACCCAGCGATCCAAACGCGTTCGAAGTAGTTTTTGAACCAGTCAGACCTCTGAAGAATGTCTAGAGTGTAGGATTTTGGTGAGAACACAGTAGGGTATTTATCACACAGAAACATTCTCAGTAAAATTACAATGCAGTTTCGATTTTGATACATCAAGATACCAGGACGCTTTTCATTTGTAAACGGGTTCCTCCCAAAACAACTGAACTTATCATCTTGTCCTCCATTTGCTACACCCTACTTTTTCTATCTTCATTCTAAAAAGGGGATTCAACAGTCCCTTAAAATCGTAATAAGTTTCATTCCTTAAATGTAAAAACTGAGTGTAGTCATATTTACCCCCCGATATTCTTTCTGAGCATTCTTTTTTTATCTTTTTTTTTAGAATACCAAAGAAACATATAAGAAAAAAGTGAATTTGTAAAAATTCCGAAAAATTGGTTATTCTTCAAGATTTTTTACTGAAAAGCACTCAAAAAGTGACCTAAACAAACTTTCAGTTGTAATTGCAGCTAGACCACTGAGCTTTCTTACTAACGATCTAAAAATAATGCAGAGACTATGAAGGAAGTGAGGAAAATCAAATTTTTGTTTGTAATTTCTTCTTGAAAATAGAAGTAAAATATTTGTTTTGTTGCACGGTTATTGTTACCCCAATAAATATTTTGAGAGAACTGTAAGAAGCAAGATTCTTCATTCCCTTCTTATGGGGACTTACGGAGGAAGAATTAGACGACAGAATTGAGATAATAGATCGTGCCGTGCAGGAGTCGGAGAGGGGGGAGGACTGTAAGTGAGAACATGAACTTATAGGTTTTAAAGTAGAGATGGTTATCGGGGTGAAGGAGGATATAGTTTCTTTTCGTGTGGACAAATTAGCTGTCCTGGACCCTGCAACTCCAATTAAAAAAGCAGCGCACACAATTATTCAACCAATCGTTTGGCTTTATCGACGCCTCCAATCGCTCGCAGACTTCACCGTGTAATACGCGCTCACCGCTTCGCTCTGCGATGCCACGCAAACCTTCCTACACTCACATGCTCCTATCATTTCACAGGAGAACAGGATTTTTTTTCAATCCATTCAACGTTTGTCTCCTCGGTTTTGCAGCACTGTGTGCGGTTCGCTGGCTAGGAACGCGTCGACCACACTTTTCCTGCGGTTATTCTTCTCTGTGAAGTCACAGAGTGAAAATAAGAACTTTTTTGTGCAAGTTAATCAACTCATTCCTCATGAACAGAGACAATATATTACAAGAGTCGCGCAGTGCTATCTCCTCTGGGATGTAAAATTTGATTTTGGAAGTCAACGCTCAGATTCGCTCAGTGATGACTGATGACCGAAGAGTTGAGCGATTGATTTAGCAATCCTAACTAACCTAGCAAACTAACTTAAGCGCCTAGTAAAGACACCTCGACGTTTTTCAACCATTAATATACAATTTTTTTTTTCTTTCTTTTTTTGTTCAACAAGTTGCTCATCAACCACACCATCGTTAGGAGAAAATTAGATGATTGAACGCTCCTTCAACTCAGGACAGCGCGGAGAACAATGGAAGAATGTACGAAGTTGGGTTCGGACCTAACATGCAACTATTTAAACTCTGCAGAGAACCGGGTTGCATACGCTCAATTTTGCAGGCGAAATATGGAATCTGCCCACGGCACGCTAATTCTAAGTTTTTAAATCCTATTCAGAGATCGTCTCCGTGAAAAGCGTTCAAAGTTTCAACTACAGAAATGCACTTGAGCCTTTTAGCTATATGATGGAATTCTGTACTTAAAAAACCAACAGATTTCCCATTGATATTAGAACACATGAAACGGGGAACAGTCATAGAAAATTTGACCCCTAAGTTGAGGGTTATTTTTAACGGCTTGGGGCAACTTATTCTAATATCTATATTCACGTAAGAATGCCGTAGAAAAAGGATAAATTTTGACCTCGGATCGTTGCATCGGAAGGTAAAAGGACGGCCCAGGAAGCCTGTATACAACCTTAGTTGCCTTGCCAATGAGAGGCATGCAGTCGCGATAAGAACACGCCATGAAATTGGTCATCTGTCTCCTTCGAAGCCGTATTTACGACCTGCAGCTCTAAATTAATTACCACTTTGACGCGATTATTACATGATTCTGGAGTGTCTAATTACTATCTAGTCAATGCCTATTGCCGCGCTAACTGACAGAGATAAATAAACTTATTCAGCTACTGCGATTCTACTTACGTGACGAATGTCCTCCTTGATATCTCAAAATTTCCGGGATGGTAATATTGTCGAAAAATGGAGTCACCTGACTAATATTGACTCTTGTGCTTTGACTGTGCAACGCTTTTCTTTCATTTTACTTTACTGATCGAGTTCCATGCAGCTGACTCGGAAAAAAAGGTGTTAGGGGTTCTCTCCTAAAATTTTTCCACCAACTCACATTAAGGTAATACCACAATATTCGGCTTAGTAACCTAATTTATTGGGATAATACCACAATTAATTGGAAAGGTCCATGTCGTCCAGCAACCCCAACCTCTTTTTTTCCGTGGACCGATCTTGAAATGTCGAGTTATAAAACAGAATCAATGAAACACAATGATTTCTATTTTGGTTTATTCTTTTCTACTCATTGAATGATTTTGGTCCCTGAGCGAAAGCAGTTGCGTCAGAAAAATGAAGAATTCAATACGAAAATTGACGTGACTTACCCGTAGGCAGCTAACGTTGGGTCGTAAGGGTAGTACCCTGTTGAAGGTTGAAGGCCAGCGCTGGTCCACGCTCCCATGTCGCCAGGGGCATTACCATCTTTTAAAGCGTAAGGATTACTCTGAAACAGTATGAAAAATCGAATGAGGACAAGATCTATTTTACAAATGGAGAATATTTTTTTCGGTACTTAGAGCTTATAAAACGAGATATACTCTCTCCAATTGCTGTAACGCCTTTTTCCTGCATATTTTGCAGACATTTCTGCATATTGATTTTCTGTGCATGTTCACCCTCTTAGAAAAGCTTTAATAATATGACTTTCCCAATAATTTTTCTTTTTTCTTGAATAGGCGAATGTTGGCAACATCGAAGCATGCAGACAGCCTTGAGACGAATTCCTCATTTACCACAATGAGCTGAATCAAACCCAGCAGTCCTGTGTCGGTAACACTCGCGAATTCATTAAAATTTGAATATTCATGAATGAAATACGAAAGATATAATCATGCTCCCGCGCTTTCATTAATATAAGATATTTTATTCTCGTCCGAGACCGCCATGCGGCTTATAAATTCGTGATTCAGATTTAGTTTTTGAGCGAAGATACCACCCCCCACACCGTCTTGTTTCCCTCTTAATGAAATAATCAGAAAGAGCTCGCTGAGATGTATTTCACATAAAATCTAAGAGAGATTCTCTTGCTTACAATGAAATACACACTTGCTTTGAACGTATTGGAATTCCCTGATAACACATCAAGGACAATTTTGAGAGGAAAACGTTTCATTTGATATTTAAGAGCCATATTTTGAAGAATAATTCAAAAACTGTTTTAAGAAACTTTAACAAATATTCCGGAAATTCTTAGCGCAAACCACTGCAAGGGCCTATTTCTAAAAACCTCTGTAAAGATGCTCTTTATTCTTTTTTTTTAAGAAAATAAGTGAAGATTTTCAGAGAATGTTTTAAACCCCTAATTTGACAATTTTAAAATATAAGCTGAACTTTAAAGTTTTTAAAAATGATTTGGTGGATCACCTTTTAAAGATGTTTTTATAAAATCATTGAAAATGCATTTAAGTCATAACATTTATTTTTTAAAATCCTTGAAAAACGACTTTACCACATATTAAAAACATGCGAATGCCACCGTAGGTAACTTATCTCCTTGAACGTTTCACAGTTTCTTTAAATATTATAATTAATCCCCCATTTTAAAGAAACAATTTGTGTAACATACTATTGTTTTCAGAGATAATTGGAAGACATGTATTAAGCGTCGATGTGCTACTAGGATGGACCAGTTACACGACAGGAAATCAAATTATCTCATTTTGGCTTTTGGGATGAATACCCTCATAAAAATATACAACTTGCATGTTAGCCACCACACCCCTTTTTTATACGAGTCTCTATACTCGAAGAAGCGAATTTCCTTCCCGTTACCGCCTTGGAAAGATGGTCTAAAGGAATCCACGTGGCTAGGCGCATGCGCAGAAAATAAGCTCAATCTTTTTAGTTGCAAGGTGTGATTACATATTATGACGGTCCATTTAACCAGGCCTACTTTTCAGGTTTCATCCGCCTCAAGTGTCAATAAAATTAGACGATCTTGTTTGTGCGCCCGGACAGGCCCTCCCAATCCTGATAGCGTTTAATTTTATTCATCTCGCAACTCTAACTATAGAGCGATAATACCAAACAGTTAATGACAGTAATTGAGAGCTTGATCAGTTTCAAATGAGGAGATTACTCGGTTTAATTTTGAAATAAATCAGAGGATGCAAAACTCCTTAGCATTAAGGATTCAATGGCATTGAGATGAATATGCAAAGGAATGACCCTCGAATGTGCTTTCTTACTAAATAATGAGATAAAATTGAGTAAATATCGACTTCCTCTCTCTCTCTCTCTCTATCCGTCTTCTCGTTCATCAACCCCTGTTTCTTTTTTCTGTTTTAAAAAAAAATAAATAAACTGATGACGTCACATTGAGGCGAGAATAATGAATGAGTTTCATCCTCATTAGATGAGATGGAAAATATATTTGAAAACCAAGTATACCTACTACACATAGGTAAGCATTGTGAGCTTTCAGAACCCGGTGAATTGTTTCGTCCTTTCCACTTTCAAAAATACTCTCGAGAGAGTTTTTTCAACTTTCAAGAATTACATTGATCCCCCTAGCAAAAAAAGAGATTAGACCTTTAAAAAAAAGTCTTTAAATAAAAATAAAAGTGTTTTGATAGTGATGGTAATCTAAGAAAAGCTTTCCCTATGACTGCGCACATGCTGCGCGTAATTCTCATGTGACGTGTGCGAGAAATAGAAGCGAAAATAAACAGCTAATAATACAGTGACCCAAACGGCCTCAGCGAGCGCGTCTTTATTATTTAATCCGATGAAATATTATCTGAGGATCGGAGATTATAGCGCCTTTGAGTTTTAATAACACCATGTTGCCGCAGTAAAAATCAATCCGCGGTTTGTGATCCACGATCCTGAGTTCGGGGCTTAGAGAATAATGAGCTTATTGATTTAACGAGGAAATCGATGTCTCGGTGCGCCTTCAATTACCGAATTAGGCCACAATAGTTCCGAAGAGCACGAATAGTTATCGTTCGACGCCTTCTTGGTGTTCAACTCTACCGTGCTAATAGCGAACGCCGTATGAGCCCTCTGACGTTGCCAAATTTTGTTTGATAAAATACGGATGTTAAGAGGAACTTGTGAGTACAAATCCTCCAACTTTTTAGAGACTTTTAGTCGCAATTTGATAAGAAATTTCTGAAAATTTCAAGGATTAATTCTAATAACTATCTTTGAAATTACAATAGTTTATCAGGGAGAGTCCAGCAACGTCAGAATTTTCGTAGAACGTTTTTCCTGAACGGTGCGATCTGAAAATCGACAACATCCGCGACAACATCCACAAGTTGTGAGGACAGAAGCCCCACAACGAAAGACGGGTCAACACGGGTCTCTATTTTGTTTCACACGTATTGATCCCCCATCAACAATGTCATGCCCCACCCCCTTCCCCCCCGGGGATAAGTCAGCCGAGGTTTACCCAATCGAAGCGGAGTATATGATTTATATAAGCGGTTTTCGACTCGGCGCCACCAAACCTACGAGAAAATGACCCACCCTGAGTGAGGGAAATCGTGCGGTTGTGAGAGTTTTGGCAACAATGCAGAGCATATGTGTTGTAACACGTAACACCGACGCACTTAAGTTTCTGTGTTGTTCGGGCACACGCGGAAATCCGATTCAATTTTATCGTTGCGGCTAGGCTTCAAGTTTTTGATCCCCGCCACACAATCCACACCCCTCGCTAAGCCCTTCCTTGGGAAAAATGGTTTCCTCCCTTACACTAGAGTCTGTACTGCCGTGCTAAGGAAGAACGCCGTATGAACCTTCAGGCGTTTCTAAAGTTCCTTTTATAAAACACGAATTTCCTGGTAAACTTATAAAAATTTTCCTTCTAATTGTTTAGATAATTTTGTTCGCAATATCACTTGAAGTCCCTGAAACTTTCATGGAAAAATATCCATACCTTTTCTTAAAAATAGATTTTTTATTGAAGAAAATTTGGCAACTCTCGAATGTTCATACGGCGTTTTTCCTCAGCACAGCAGTGTATCAGGGCCGAATGGTCCGAAAAAGTATCACAAGCGCCATGCGACGTTTCAAAATTTCTACCGCCATTTTATTTTTTTACAGACAAATTGTTCGATGAAGCTGTCCAAAAATTTCGCTGAATTTTCTCTGTGCTGCCGATAAAATTCAGTGAAATTTTCAAACGGATTCAATCTACCTCTGTAAAAAAATAAAATGACGGCGGAAAATATGAAATGTCGCATGGCGTTTGTGATAATTTTGCCGGAAGGTGACGATATCTATAATTCGGTGATTCAATATCTCTCCAATTTTAATTGTTGTGAAGGCAACCAACTGACAGCTTGCATACAATTTTGTAAAAATAACCTTCGTGTATGAAAAAATTTACTACATTTCACGATTAAGACTCGTTTACTTCTTAAACGTAACATTTCAACTATGCACTTATTTCACTCCACTGCGGGAAATTTGACAATGCCTTTTATTTACGGAAAGAAAAACTCGCGGAAGGGTAAAGGAGATCATAAAAAAAACGAGTGCCTAGTCTCAATGGAAAATTCAATTGAAAAAATATGATAAGCGTTCGGAAGAGTAATTACATAATAATAATAAACACTGCTTCATGATAAAATGCATGTATTATAACTAGCAGAAAAGCGCAGAGTGTGGGCAAAGAGTTAGCCTCATTCGAGAACTAGAGAAGAATAGAAACCCAGAATTTTTTTTTAAATCCTAGTCCGGATAAACTTAATGCGTAAAACGTTGTCTTCTCAAGTTTGCCACACTTATGGCACGTGGTCCCAAATTCGTAAACACACAGAGGTGTAAATGGCAGGTGATGTTGGGGCACCTCTTAAAAATAAACACATTATACTACTACAACGTTTTCCTTCTTTTTATTTCTTCCTTTTACCTGGTGTAAAAAGCCAACATAGCCGGGCACTGCTCAAAAATGCATGTATTTCACCACTACCAGTCTTATTTATACATTTTCCTTCTTTCCTTTCGTTATTTGTCTATTACTTTCATTTTTTTAAAGAAACGTAACAAAGAAACGAATGTTAGCTGATTTATCCTGTAGAAAATTTCAACCATGACCGATACCGTTAAGTATCAAAGAGAACCCCAGTGCGCTATAAAAAGGACTAATACATTTCTGTATTGTGTACAACCATATATGTAGGATTTTACAATCCACAATTATATAGATTTGAGCTCCTTTTTTGAGTGGCTATACCGTTAGTGCACTCTCAATTCCCAGTTTATTAAACTTATGGCATGTGCATAGGTATGTAAAAAAAAATATGATTTTTGCCTGTTAGTAATTTTCTTTCCTCGTTATTTTCTTCCCACGGCACAACCAAATTCTGATGTTTCGACTGTTAATAACGATTCTCCTTGTATACACAAGAACTTGGTAGCAGGAGCTTTCACCGAGCATTGCCAATATTATAAATCTAACGCAAACTCGATGACCACTCAACGCTTGGAAAGTGG